TACACAGCTGTCGTGGTTAAATTTCAGCAAAACAACTCAAAGTTCATTCCTAATTTGGTGTAGAACGTGCTGACGTGTTCGGTATCCACACCTAACAATGTCGCCATCGCCTATTTTCCCTTCAGTACAAACGAGCAGTGCCGCTGATGTTTTGAAAGACTTGATGTCTTGATAGAGATGAAGTACTGAATACGTAAAGATACCATTAAGGTGCGAAAGTAGAGTAACTCACCTTTCACAACGAGAAAAGTGAAAATCGTCCTAACAATTGGCCGTTGTGTTGGTTCTCCAATGTTTGAGCCAACATGTTTTTGTAGGGATATACATTTGAATGTAGGTAACTGTTATTGGGAGAAGAGTTTGCTTAAAGCGATTAGCTTGCTAGGTATCGTTTTATAAAGATTTCTCATTCATGAGCATTTGCGTAGCTGATCTCTGAAAACGGTAATGCCAAACTGTTATAAATGCTTTCTACTGAAATTAAATGCGTAACTGCGCTGTGTGGTTCAATACTATTGCTGTATAACATACGTGTTTCCCGATTAGCTGCCCTTACATCGAGTAAACTGCTTACTTATAGTTTGAAAGACATAGCAGAGCAGAGAAAAAGGTTATTTCTAATCTTTATATATAGTATTTTCATCAAATGGTGAGCAGCACTACTGTAAGTCTAAATATTTTCGCATTTAACGTACTGTTTTGCAAAGGACTTGTGCGTTGGCACTATAGACATCTAGACAACATGCAGGGCCAGCGTAGGCAGTGCCCTCCACGATTGTGGCTTTATAATTTGCTGACATTCCTATATTTTTGTCATATTTTCAACAATTAACACTACTTCTGCCCCGACCCAACGAGCTTATCACCTCGAAGAGGCCAAATCGGCGTTATAGCTGGAACAAGGAATTGATTATGAACTATGAAAGCAGTGAAAACCCTAAAGTTTAGCACAAGCAAACTGATCTGCCGACATAAGTAAAAGCTGTGCTTCAGAAGTTTGAACATGTTGACAATTCGCTCAGTAAAATTCTCTCTCGATTGCTGTTTCCAGAAGCTTATCATAATCTTGCTATTGCCGTGAAATTTCGATTCTCTCTGTAAACGTTCTGCCCCTGAAGAAAGTTCAAAGCGTATTACTTACACGGATATCACCTGACAAAGTTTTAAACGAAATGAAAGCAAAAATTAACGAGCAAGCCTTCTCATCTTGTGGATTTGGGCAAATGAGTTGAACGACAGAGAAAGTAAACTACATGTAACTGAAGCTTCTAGGCACGAAATTGTGCCCTTAATCAGCAAAGAAAAGCAATCTAAATGTATTGGAGAACTTTTATCAACCCTATTGCCTTCATATGTAAACTAAAAAAGAAACAGTCCGAACGAAGATGTGCCGAAAAAAAAAATGTTTATCCCATTACAACTTGCTTTGTGCAAAAGCCCGTCGTTTATTCGATCGTTTTACCTTCGTCATATCTATAACACTTCAACAACGTATCACACAAGCGACAACAACATATTACGGACAAAATATGTATAATGATAATTTCAGGTACGAAAGGCAATAGTTAAAGTTGTGTTTTTTTCACCATTAACATGATTCAGCTTACCCCACGTTGAAGAACCTTGCCGAATGCCAGCTCGGCTAACTCTCGTTATTCCTTTCTACAACCATATCTTACTATGCCCCCTTTTTAGATAGGTCGTCCGGTCCCACAGTTTCAATGACTTGGTTCGTGGTGGTCGTACTTCCTTTAATTTTCAGCAACTTGAATGGTGAACCAGTAGACCTAGAAGCTTTCGCTTGCGTTCAAGGTTTTCTTTTCATGAGGGAAGAACAATGAATGAACACGCGCTCAAAGTTCTGCTAGTGTTTGTTCTTCATTGTGTACTTGTGTTGAATGTGACTTCCCACAACAGTACATTCGTATTGATAAATTTTATTTTAAAACACGATACAACCCTTGTTTTCTCACTAAGAGCAGCACTTGAGTAGACGTTTGTATGACACGCGAAATATTGAAACTGGATCGTTTTCAATAAGCGACCACCATGTGGTGTAAGCTTGCGCGGACCATTCTCTTGAAAATAGCATTGACTGCTATTTGTCATAAGTTGACAATCAGTAGAGTCTATGTTGCCAATAGATTCCTTACGAGACCACCGGAATGTCGGGCTTGTGTTGGTAAATGTTTTGAGGAGATAAGTCTATGCGAAGTGGGTGTATGGTTTAGCTGTCTTGGGAAGAATATTTTTAGTGTGACACTTTTTTTATAAATGTTCGCCTTGGATTTTCTGTAATTATCCTACAGCTCCGTGTTATATTTCTTTTCCCATTGCAGCAGGCAGTAAATAAATCTTACGTCATGAACTTATGTCATAAGCTGACAATCTTGCAAAAAGTCTAATCTTTTTATATACATCAACAAACTTACCCCACGTAGATATAACAGGTCATGGGCAATTTATATTTTTGCAAGGGATTTTAAAAGGATAATAAGGATCCTAGTAAGATTGTAAGCTTCTTCCAGATATGGTAAGATAAGAGGTAATATGCCCACTAAAGAACAATACAAAATATCTGTAAGAATTTTCCATAGAGTTTAGTAACTATAAGTACATAATTTCTGAGGGAAACTAAAAGCGTTAAGAGCTTCACTTATGTACTTATAACACATGACGATCATTGTGAAAGCTTTGGAGAAAATAGGCGACAGGTCAAGATTGTCTTTTCCAACCATCTCCGTGAATCTAAAAGCGCTTGCCTTTCGCTGCTTTTGCCAGGGTTTGATTCCCAAGCTTGTTGTAAGAAATTTTGAGGCCCAAATCTTCAAATTCCAGTTTACCCTTGTATCAGTGAATGTAGATCCACACATAGGTAATCCCATTTCCTAATGAGGTCAATTTACTTGTTAACGCAAACACCTCATCAAGGGCAACGGTCGGAAGATTTTCTTTCGTAGAAGATTTTATAGGCTATTGTGTACTTAGACACTGTTTAATAGCTTTGCAACTTTCCATAATTTCAATTTGTTTCTTTATCCAATGAAATATTGAGTGGTTACTAAGGTCGAAAACGTTCTTTATTGTAAAAATTTTTAAGGTTTTGGACTTTGGCCTTGAACAAGTTTTGACAGCTTTCAAAACCCGGCCGTCGACAGGCTAATCAATGAAAACATTGGCCAGTGCCGCATGCAGTTTTTCGGCCGCCGTGTAATTAACTAATAAAAGAAGGCGATTAGAACAAAAAGCTAGTGACGGATTTCCTTCTCATGCAATTCGATGGAAATTCGAGTGCTGCCGCTTCGTAAAAAATCAACTCATTTACCCAATCAACCAAAATATTCGTCAGATTTGAAAATCACTCATATCTGTACGAGCTTTTGATGTCCAAAAGAATTGTCAAGGAGGAAGGATTCTAAACGGGAAGATAAATCACGGCTTCCTTGTTACAAATTCTTAGCCAGAATGGTAATTTCACTTGCATCAGGGCGACAACTCATATTTTATGATTGGTGTGTATGAGCGCTCGCTTCGATCAAAAGACCAAATTTAGTTTAGAAATTAATTGAATTATCGACTAGGTAATATTCGTGCTTAGATTATCGCTTGAACGCTTGTTGTTTGTTGGTAACAAACACTTTTCATCCTAAAGAACAATATTCAGTGGAACAACAATCGAAACGCCTTTCCATTATCTTTCGCTTTGGTTGACGCGCGATCTTTTCGTCTCCCTTCAGTTGGCTTTTAAGACAGTTGAGTGACATACTTAAAGCGGTCTTACACAATTGGAAGTTTACGTCACAGCAAACTGAGTGCCAAAAAAAAATCTTTACTTATAGGGCTATTTTTAAATTGTTTCCCATCCATTCCTAAAAACATCCTGTTTTCATACTTCAGTTACAGAATAAAGCGGCAATGTGTGAAGTGCATAACATAACTTTGCGCGGCCAAGGATCTCCAAACATAAACTACAGTATTGTAATTTCGCATTATGGGGCCTTTCACAAAATTCTCTTTAACCAAGATCTATACAAGTTGGACCCTTGTTTCACTAACCCTAACCCTAGGCCTCACTGAACTTAGCTCTTTAATACTTTCTCATGACTAAGAAGCACCTCGCCACAGAGAAAAGTGTGATGTTAGGAAAATATAATTAGGTGATTTGTCACTAAATCTCTTCCCAAATGTTATTATTTAGTAAGGCGGAGTGGAAACGGCTATACGAAAACACGAAATCAATACCAGCCTATTGGAGCTTTAATTACTTTAACAATATTCTGTTTCGTGACAGACTCTAAATGGGGGGAAAGAATGCATTACACTGATCTAGCAGCTGGTCACGTGAATATGCCACAAGTACGTAATTGCAATAATTACTCGGCACCCAAATTACGTCAGTAGGTAAACTATTTGTTCAAAGCGGCGACTCAAAAGTAAGTTTATCCTCAGAATTTATGGTTTTCGTTGCTAAAATCGGGGCCATGCCTTTATCGTCACGTTTGTTAACTTTAACCTTTTCGGAAAAATTACGATCTCAAATCTTATGCAGACTTGTGTGTACCTCGGGTGTGGCTATTAACTAGAAGTAAACCTAAGCATACAAACATGTGGAATTTTTTTTAAAATTCGAAACCACATTTTGTAGATTGTCAACAGAAAGGGAAGTTGCCCATTTCAGTCCTGAGCAGTTTAATACTTACAATCTTCAACTTTCATCCACTAGAAGGGTCTCTTATTTAGTCATATCTCCCTGAAGCTCAAATTTTCTCAAACGAAGGTACTATTTATATCTTTGAATCAAGGTCCATTACTATCGTCACGTTTGTTTGTCATTGTTCATCGTTTTTTTCGTCATGTCATTCTCCATTATTTTCAGCTTTCATCTGCTAAAAGGGTCTCTTATTTAATCAAATCTCCCTGAGGCTAAAAACTACTCAAACGAAGATACTACTTACATCTTTGAATCATGTTTTATTATAACTAATAGGATGCAAGTCGTTAAAAAACGATGAATTAATCATGATTCAAGGTGTGAGCTTGGGAGTTGAGCTGAGGTTACAATAGTCTAGCTATATGTTGGTCATAGCCTGCATAGTTTCATCTCCAGTTGTAATTATGCTGTTCGTATAAATACTGTGTTGACTTTGATTCATCCACCCACACTCTGTCGTGATTTCTCAAGAGGGTGGCAACGTGTTAATACCTGACACGCAAATTTTCCACAAAGACAAGGTAAGACGAGATTTGAAGTTTTTTCTCAAAAATTTGCGACGCACGAAATACTGCTTAGAGTACACGTAACGCGTGAATCTTTCTAAAAGCTGTACGTGAAACGGGATCAGGTTCCCTCCCTTCCTTTCTGCTCGCTTGCTACTCGCTACTCTCTTGCAAGACAGTTACCATGGTGGTACCTTTCGCGTATACCACGTCTTGTGTTCCTCCGAAAATAGAAAAACACGCATTTCTTCGTAGTCTAATGGAACGCAGAAGTAGACATCTGTCATTAGGACATTAAGAGTTCCTTAATAACCTCTTCCGAACAATCCTGATACGCACTCATTATTTCGAGCGGACAAGCATATTGGTTGCACCGCCAATGGCCTTATAAATGCTACAGAAGTGGAATATTCTTGGTTGGATTCAAAAGGTTACAACACACCTTATTTGTTTGATTTCGCACTCTAAATGTAATGATGGTAGTTGGGAGTGATTCAAAAACCTGTGAGACGTTGATCAACGTTTTACTTTGTATTGTCGTTTCTCAGACAATATAATTGTTACGATATTGACTTTGAAGTTTTCATGGCGGTTGCCCAGGTGACCGTTACGTACAAAACTTGTAGTCAACACTAAACTAAAAGAGTTATGGGGGAAAACTTGTTAGATCGATCCTTATGTGGGAACAAAATGCACAAAATTATAAGTCATTTCTATTTTAGGCCAGAAGGATACCATCCTCACCGTTTTGCCTTTAGTGAAGCGAAGGAAGCTAAACTTATTAAACCCAGACGACAGAGACTACACTTGCGATAAAGTATCAAAGTTACAGACTAATTAGGTCAGGAAAGATCATTTGACAGGTTAGTTGAGACTAGTGATAAACAAACACCTCATTTAAATTTTACTCCACTCGAATCGTTGTCTTGTAAGACCGTATACAACGCCTCTTGCTAAGTTTGATCTTTATTCTTGACCAACTGTGCATAACTTATAAACTTAGTTCTAAAAGCTTTCGAGGTCCGGTCAACGTCACAATTGCTTCAGGCAAGTCGTCGCATTAAATAAAACCTAAACCTTCGGCCGGCCGGTAAATGAGGTTTAGTTAGGTTTGATAGAGGTTCGCTCATTCGGTAGCAAAGTCATGAAGGGCAGTCAAAAAGGACTCTATGACCTTAGAGTAAGAGGTCTTTCCGAAAAAGACTAAAACTCTTAAGAGTTTAGTTCGATTTTCTTTCTAAAGCCGGCACTCACTTGGACAAAACCACAGCTTGTTAAATAAATTTCTTACTCTTTAGTCAGCAGTTTACTTCGTCTTGCCCTTTTCCTGGCCGGAATGATCTCATTAAAACTAAGTGAAGTGGCTATTTGCGTGTTCGGGCAGCTGTTGTCGTCTGTTTTCTTGCACAGAAGTCTTGTAGTTTCCAATAGCTGTTGTTTTGGAGGTATGCCTCTGATCTAATGGGATCTTAGCCCTTGTTGGATTGTGATCAGTGATGTTATATGATGTCTGTGACGTAAATGGCCTAAAATGCCCGCAGCTACGAGCGGAGCCTCTAGCTCATGGGATCAGAACATCTTTTTTTTAATTTTGCGCCACATCTTTCAAGTCGTCATACATTTTTAAAAACTGTCGCAATCAGGAAATATGCATATGTAGGAAAGTGCAATTTCCTCGAACGATCATAAAGTGTTGAGAATGTGGCAGCGAATGCATTTTATTCTTCGTTTGATAGTTGTTCTAGATTTTTCTTTATCATCATAAATGTCAATCAGATAAAGTTTTGAACACGAGTGTGAGATAACTCTCACGAAAGCTTAAACGTAGTTCTTCTATGAAAACTAAATCAAGTTAGAGAACCATAATCATTATTTCATGTAGCTGTGAGCAGGAACAAGAAGCCATGAATAATCATCAAGAACAAATTAAATGCTGCTACTAAGTTTAGTTTAGGTTTTGCTAAATCGATTACCATCATAATGCGTATATCTCCTGTGGTCATATCCTCGACCCTCAGTACGGGGTAGCCAATTCGTTTTTTCCTCTTGCAATTTGAGTATGTTTATATGTGACTGGACGTACAATCGCTTTTGTCGAGTTTGTCAATTAAAGGTCTTCAGAACAGGTTTTCCGGTATCCATAATTTGGCTTATTTCAAATCCGTGATTTGTGGAAGAGATGAGAACTTTGAACACAACACAAGTTTGGGCGCTGTTCAACTAAGGAAGTTTGAAATAAGATATTGGAAATACAAAGATTTAGGAGGTTCAATCAAAATTCATTCTGAGACAAAACTGTCGTCTTGAAAAGTCGGATTAGTCGATATGGGAAACAAAATGCTTGACTCAGGCTTTAATAAGCTTGTCGAGTCAAGAAAGCTTTTCAACTCAGGCTAGGCTTCTTCTTTGGGATGGGGATTGTGACTGGGATCGGGTTTCGTTGATGAAAACCGTCTGGAAACGGAGGTGAAGGAATAATCGGTGAAGGTGACGTTATCGAGGAGCTTCTTCGTTATTATTATTATCATTATTATTATTATTATTATTATTATTATTATTATTATTTGTTATGTAAGAATTATAGCATGGCGCAAGGGCCGTGTATCGTGACTAGATTATTGTCCAGCATGTTCCTTAACACTCACTCGGGGTCCAGTGCAATGTAGTTTGGTCATAAATAAATTCCACAGATCCCTGATGACAGCAAGTTTGGAAATTGTACCAGCAAGTAATTGATCGTATAGGATTTGAAAGGGTGGGATGTAACCGAGTTGATGAAACAAAATCCTGTACCACAAGTGTGCCAATTAATGTATAATTTCAAAGACGTTTAAGAATTTTAAGAATTTACCCGATAGTAAGCGTCCGCTCCATGAAGGAACAAATTTTTGATGCGAAAAGTTTATTTCTCTTGACTCACCGCCTAAGAACTAATTTTTCAATTGTGATTGAATCCGGTTTTCAACACATTAAATGTAAGCGGATGAACAAAAAAACTACTTGCGTCTAATTGAGTTCACAATTATTTTAGGAAAATAATTACCGGGTAAGGGTATGAAAACATGTTTATTCCTCTTTCCGATTTTTGAATCCTCTAGAACAGCTTCACACTCTTGAATCAAATTACTCTCTTTACTTAAAAAGAAGGCTGCTTTGAAGACTTAAGGCAAGAATAGACAGTTAACAACCTCTTAAGAACTAGAAAATTCGACTACTTATCCCTAACTAACTGGCGGGAGAATTTCCGTTCCATTTTAATATTGGAACCTATTTTTAAATAATTCCTAGCATTTCTCACTTGAAAGGGGGCAATCACCAAGCAACTCGAAACGTCTAGGCGCATATAAATCTAGAGTACCGTGCATCTTATTTCGCACTTATTGTTTTGAGCAGGAGAAAAACACGCCATTTGGAATTTTATCCCTCAATTTTGATAGAATCGTCTAAGTTCAGCCTGAACACATCCAGCCAGCTAAAGTTACAGAGTAAGGTAAGAAAACTGAAAAATAGTTAATTATTTTGGTGATGAAGGTAAAATTTAAGGGCCAGCTTGCTCGATTCAAGAAAAAAGTGGTACTCTGTCAAAGTTTCCGAAAAATCGAGTCATAGCGTATCATGCTGAACTGTTAGAACTTGAAGCTGATGTTAACCGCAGATTAGTTGCACATTGTTAGATTCTAGAGAGTTAGCATCCTGTTTGGATCCAGATCTCTAGATCTATGGGGATTTGGCTTAACTCTTCCTTCACGTGCCATTTCAGTGTCATTGAAAAGCGAAACTATGTAGCCTGATATTGCACTGAAGAGTCTGGAGCGAAGGACTGTACTGGAGTTGGTCCTGTAAATATTTTCCCTCTGGATTCCTTCCATTGATCGGCATTTTTATCCCTTCGCTGTTTTGCACTCTGCTCTTTTTTATTCCTCAATTACGATGTGGGAAAGGTATGTTCGAAAGCTCATCCGAGACATTCTAAAGACACTAAGTTTTTCCAGAAATATTCTCGCAATCGCTAACCCTAACCCTAAGCAAAATCCCAGTGGATACTTACGATAAGGGTTTCTTTTACTTTTGTCCTATCGCAATAACAGTTTGGCATGTTTGCGTTTGGCTGCTTTAGCATGACTCTTTCGCCACCGTGTTTTAGAGACTGCAAAACAAGGCGTTAGAAAGAAAATTAACGCTAATTTTCCTCAAACTTGCATGCTATAACTCGGTGAAAATCAGGCCATAATCGAAATTTTTATGAAACAACAATATTAAAGCGTAATATGATCTTGAGTGAAGAATGCATTAGGTAATTAATACAAATGTTTTGTTATTATGCAGTAGTGATGTTTAGTGACCACTGATTGCAGGGCCTCTGCAGGCACGTTCTTGTACAGTAGCAGTATGTTTCTTATTGTGAAGGCGAAGGGGCAAAATTCGCTCTAATTTTGGCTAGACATGACCCGGCAAGGTTATTCACCTTTCGTACTTATTGTTTTTTCTTTTGCACGGTTTGTCGATCAGCCAATCGTATCTTTGTGTGTGTTAAAGTTGCCCATAATAAACATTTATAGCTTAACAGAGCACGTAGCCAGACACAGCTATTGGTGACTTAATCTTCTATTTTCTTTCCCTCGTTTGGGCACGGTGAATCCTTGTACTCTTCCTGTGCAAAGAAGCGATTAGTTATTGTCAATTACTCTAAAACGATCTCTCAGTACATTATTGTGCAACCAGATTGCATAACAGACGCGCCAGCTGACCTCTACGATATTTTGCGGGTAATTTGGAAACATCACACCAACGAAAAACTAGAGCGTTTATATTTTTGAAACAGGCCTGTGCAAATTGCCATCCCAGGGCTAAAACGGAGTCAAAATGCTTTTTCCTGAACTGTCACGTCGTATGCATGCATTTTCCCAATTGGGTGACTACTTAAGATTTTTTAATCGTTCAAAGGTTCGTTTATCAGTTAATGACTCTTAACACTTTCAGTCCTTATAAAAGATCACAGAGCCAATTGCACCCACTTGAGTATCCTGCCAGACAAAGATGCATGCATCTCGGTATGTTTTTAGCAGAGTGAAACAATAGCTCATTTTTTGATGCTTTCTTTTGATCATTTCGCTATCAACCGATGTAGGAAGCATAAGCGTTTTCCGAGCACCAATTAAAGGTGCTGACGATGTTTGTAAAAATTCGTGGAGGAAAAATCATTTTGTGTGCGTTTCCAAAACTGCCTCTTCTTAAACTCTCTATCTTCATTAGCAGATGGTTTAAACAGATATATATAGAGAGAGTTTAAAAATATGTTAAGAGGTATTTATTGAAAATAATTATAGCAAGTAAGGTGATCAACTCCCTTTTTAAGAGAGTTTTTTACTAGCAAATCTCTCCATGAACAGAAGGATTAAAAGTCATATCTAATCAGTCTTACGACCATGGTTAAACAGAAAGCAATCGAATAACACTCTGGTCTTGAAAATATCGCAGAATCATCAAAGATGATAATTCATCTATCCATTAAGTTTGAACTTTTTGGTGGAGAACTTTTAACTGTTCATGTAGTAAATCCATGTAAACCTCACCCAGTAATGCTTATTTTTATTTGGCACCATGGAACAAAGCGTCTTGTTTGTTTTCTCGTCTGATAGACCATTGAGTGCTCTTGTCTGAATTCTATGGCCTGAGTATCAGGTTTTGCGGGGTAGATAATCAAACAGAAAGTAGCGCGAAGAAACGGAGGGTTTTATATTCGTGTCTTTGATCAATGGCTATTAAGTGAAAGGTACTATTTAATTAGACAATCTTAGTAGTGTTCAATGTGAATACCTTACTTGTAGGTGATAGCACTTCGGTATCCTTTAAATTAGTGGAT